AATGAATTAAAGTTATCTTTAGAATTAAAAATAACTAAAATTTAACATCAAAATTTGATGGACTTATAAAGAACATACTAACTAAATTATCAGTAGCATTGAATATTAAATCAGTGTAAGTTAAAATGAATTAAATACTAAAGAACCAGAGGTATAAATGTGGATTAAGAGGACGATAATCAAATTCTGTCAGCAAATTATAAAAAAATGAACATTTTCAATAAAGGAAGTATTAATATAATTATAGTATTCATAGTATTTTAATTAAATTCATTTTTAGAAAACACTATCTATAAATAAATTAAGTTCTAAACATAAATTTTAAATTGTAGCTATTTATTTAATTTAAATATAATAAATTTCTATAAGCAAAACCTGCAAAATAATATGCTATTGCAAGGTAATTTATAGGAACAACTTCGATAATCATAGCCAAATTATTTGGCTTTTCTATGCCTATTGCTGATCTCTCAAATTATATTCTTTATCACATTGATTCATTTAAAATCTACTTCCATAAAATCATTTAAATTATAATGAAATACATTGAAAAAATATAAAAAGGTACATTAAAAGAATTTAGCAAAAGATTATTGCTTCTTTAACTACTTTAGACTTTGAGATGAAAGTTCATAGACTTATTGCCATTTCTACTTATTTAGTAATTCTATACCTAATGGACTATTTACTAGTTCAAATGATTATTATAATTATTAATCTGAATAAAATGCTCTTTTCATTCTTTTAAAATTAATTAATTAAGTTCCTATAAATTTAAAATTATATAAATATACAAATTTAATTCTACTTTGTGATCTCATCCTAATTATTCAAATATTTATACCATTCCTTAATTGACTATAAGTTTTCTTTTATTTATTGATATTCTTATTATGATAAATATTCAGATATCTAAATAAATTATTTGTTCTTCTTTTCAATTTATTTTTATATTCTTCAAATTTAGTTTTAACTTATGCAAAGGATTTATCCAATTAATCTCCTAATTATTAGTAAAATTTTCTTTGGATTTTATGAGAAGATTTTAAATTTAACCAAATACTTTAATCCCTAAGAATATAGTATTTATTCATTTACTTAATATTAAATTCCATCTGGTCACACTCCTACTCCTTAAAAATATTATAAATATATTTTCCCAATCTCCTCCTTCATATCTTCATATCTTGCTCTATCTAATTTATATCTAATTTAATAACCACTATCAATATAATCTCAAAGACCATTTGCCATATCATCAAACCATTAACCTTCATATAAAACTCATTCAACATACACTTTTTTAATTTTCATCTACCTATCTTACCCAAATCCAATTGCTTACCCGTTCTGCTTCATAAAAACTTTCATACTCTTCCAAAAACACATCCATTTTTGATTTTTATTGCAATCAACTTTGTTTTTGTTTGTTTTCCTTTTGTTGATTTTAACAATTAAATACCATTTTCTCTTTTCATTAATTTTGGAGTAGAACTGTGATCTATAGAATAAGTTCTTGATCCTGCCAAATTTCATCCTTGAAATATCCTACTTTTATTCCAAAACTGAAATGATAATACAATTCCTTTTTGATCTTAATCCATTTTTATTTCAATAATAATAATAATGAAAATAATAATATTTCTCACAATATCTTTTATTTTTATTTATAAATCAATCCATCATTTTTTTTTGAAGAAAATTTAAAGCTTTTTCTTCTATTTTAGATAATTTCTCTAATAGTTCTATCTCTTTTTTTATTTTGTAATATTTGGACTCTCTAATTTCTACAATTGCTAATATAAATTAAAAAAATGATCTGCAAGCATATGATACCCTTTAAACTTTTCAATTGATAGTGAATGAATATTATTTTAAAGAAATTTCAATTGTTTATCAGTGATAAAATCAACATCTAAATGTCTAAGATAATCTAAAAATTAGATATCATCAAGTATCTTTTGACAAGCTGACCAATTTGAATTTTCTCCTTTAAATTTCTAATCTAATAGGACACAAACCATTGTCATTACCTTTTCAATTATTACATGAGGATGAGCCATTCTTTTAATTTCAGATATATCTTATTTACACAATGAATTTAAGCCAAAATCTGCACGTTATTTTCTTTGCAATAAATCCTGAATACTTTCATCCAGCAGATTATTTTATTTATATTCTTTAATCTTTGATTTTCTAAATGATAATTATTATTAAATCAATGGAATCCGATATGGTATCAAATAAATAACAATTGAATTACCTCTTTGGCTGACCAATCGAAAATTTAAAAAATCTTTAAGGTCAATAAATTCTAAAATTTGGTTAAAGACCTCAGGTCTAACTTTATGAAGCAGATTCTAAGTTTATGAAGCAGATTCTAAGTTTATGTTTAAATATTTAGATCTTCTAATTACTAATTAATAGTGTTGATATTAAGAAATAAGTTTGAAAGAATTAAGTTTTGGTCTTGATTCTTACTATGTAATAACTGTAATTCTTTTAAAAGCTTATCTATAACAATAATAATTGATTTTGATTATAAAACAAATAATTATTTCTGATAAAATATTTAAACTAATTTATTTAAAAAAAAATAAACATAAACAGAAAAATTAGTAAAGATTCCGTCTAGATAGTGTTATAAATATACCCATCAAAGTATTTTAAATATTAAATATCATTTTAACATTGAGAAAATTTGTTGATATTACATATTAAATTATGTTATTTATTAATAAATTATCATTTGATTAGTCATATCCCTATACACATATAATTTATTATTGTAAATATCACTTCATACGATTAACATACTTGAAAATTCCTGGCAGGATGTATTGATATAGTTTTCCTTCCTTTTTTGCATATTAATATATTTTATAATATATTTAATTCTTGATTTTTATTTTTTATAATAATTTATCAATTCCAAAATTTGAATAATAAGGAAATCAAAATTAAAATTTTTCTTATTATTATCTTTTCAATTTATTGATCTCAAATTATAAAAACTTCTTATTTTTTATTAAACCAAAATTATTCCTCTCTTTAACTTTATTGCATTATATCCCTTATTAGCCATCGTTTTTATGATCTGTAATGGTTTATTGATAAGATTATTGATAATTAACAGTATTTTATTAAAGCAAGTCCATAATTTCATTTTTTCAAACTTCAATGATATTTTAAATTGTGATTAATAAGTATCAATTTATAAAACAATTGAGTAATCCTTTATTGCATTAACTACTTATAATTATATAATTTATATAACTATGACTCAAACCACATATCAACAAAATCAATAGAACAGTTAAAGAAAAATAAACAGTAAATGTTAGATTGAACAAAAGAGATACCTTTTTAAACATAGTTGATAAATTTAAAATTTGAAGACCTTTATTCATTTGTTTTCAATACTTATGGAAATAGAAGAACAATTTAAATCGAAATTTAAAATTAATTTCTTCAAAAATTTCAAAAATAATTTATAATTATTTGAGAGTTTGTTAAATCAAATATAAATAACTTGAATGTTTAGTAATAAAATTAAAAGGAATTTTAAAACAATAGATTTAGTTAATATTGAGATATAAATTTATATTGACAAAGTGGAATTGGAAGAACTTAAAATTATTGAATTAAAAAGTAATGATTTCAAAAAGATACCCTAAACAATATTGAATTTAAAGAAATAACTGAAATGGCTATGATTAGAGTGAATTCAAAATACTTATCAGTAAATGTATCTATAAAGCTTGCTAAAAATTCATCAGCAATCATTTTAAAATTAAATAAATTTATTATTTCTGTTAAAATTTATCTATTTAAGATTTTATTTCCTTGTTATTTAATTTAAATTTAAAAATTCTTAAACCTTATGTTAGAGAAGAGAATTCAGATTTTATTGTATGAAAATATTTTTACGAAAAAATAGAGCCCACTTGATAATAATAGCGTTAGTTCCTTCTTTACTAGATGAATCGCTATTTAATTATGATTGGTTTAAATTTAAATAGTGTAATTGTTATATCAATGCTTATATTTATTTGAGTCTTTTCAGCTTAAGATTAGACAAATAAATCCTCTAAATAAATTTTCCAATCTTTTGTTCTAAATTCACAATAAAAAATAATTGATAAAATTGTGATTTAGAAACTTCAATGAAAATAATGAAAACATACTATCATGAGGCAATGTAATAAAAATATATATAGTCAAAAGACTTCAAGAAAATATTCAAAATAATATATTGAATTTCTGTCCTAATTTGTGTGACAAAATGAATGAACGAATTAAAATAAAGTTTATTTGATTCTAAATATTAATTTTAGAAATAACTAAAAGATAAAGACTTAGAATGCAATATCATTTAAGTTTTAATTATTATTTTAATATTTGATTAGAATAAAGATCTATTTCTAATGAAACCACTTAATCAGAGGAAACACTATTTAATAATTGGGTATTTAACATAGATTAATATATGCACTATTCTATTAAACTTATATTTTTTTAGATATTCTTTAGGATAATTTATTGTTATTATTATTATAATAATAATACTTTGATGAAAGAACTTGGACCCAACCATCTCCTTTACCTATATATTTTATCATTAAATTAAACTATGAAATATTAATTTCAATAACTAAATATACTTTAAAATTTCAAAATCAAAAGTGTTTTTAAATAATACAGTAATTTCACACTTGAAACTCATATCTATATATTAGATATCTATTATATAAAACAATAATATTCTGTAAGATAGTGAAAAAATATTTGAATTTAGTTCTCATATGTGATAATTAGTATCATTTATTTGTAAAAAGATCACCATAAAAGTTTATTGAACTATCAAATAAATAATATGATTAATCTCTCTTAATTTAACATTAGAAATAAACTTACTCAGATTTAAGGGTTATTGGTTTAGCTTAAAAATAATTAATGTCTGATTAAATTCTTTTAGAAAGATATTTATATTGAAAAAAATTAAATTTTGTTGGATTTCTTTATAATCGAAATAATAAATATATTTTATTATGCTTTAAAAAATAATTTAAAGAATGGTACATCCTAAGTTATTGTAGAGTTTTAAAATCTAATTTAGATTTAAGAATAATATCAGGAGGTAACCCATCAACAACAGTACATTTTGCTTATGATTCAATATTAATTAAGAGTAAATAAAATACTATCATATTGGATTATGATGATTACAAAAAGTTACTCTTATTGTGTAGTCTATAACTATTTAATAATTATTATATATATATTTAATATAAAGAATTAATTTTACAAGAATTAAATTAAACCAAAACATAGTTAAACTCAAATTAGGACTTAATTTAATTTTATTATTGCTTAATTAGAATTAATTCTAAATAAAAATTGTGATTTTGCCATTACAGAATTTATGGGGATATTTCTTATTAAATAAATTCTTTGAATCAAAATATCAATTAATCATATATTTACTTTTAGTTAGCAATAGCTGAAGTCTTAGTGATGTTTCATTTATTTCAAAAGGATTCAATTGAATGTGTTAAATTATATTATTTTAAGGTAGGGCCACTAAATTCTAATATTATGTTTTAATTAGTGTACTTATTTAATTTATAGAAACAGCATTATTATAATTTTAAGGGATGAATTTTGGTGATGTTTAATATATCTACATAAATTACTTATCAAGCAATCTAATACTTATTTTATTTACTCTATTTTTAAGAAAAAATCAATTAACTGATGCAATACTATCTTTGTTATCTATAATTAATTATAGTTTTATAATATATTTATCCTAACTTCATTCAGTTGCTTATCAATCATTAATAATTATGATGCTCCAACTTTACCAAATCCTATTGATTCTCATTTAAAAGAATGATGTTAGCAAATCAATATTGATTGTTAAATTTAAATTAGATATAATAATATAATAAAAATCAAATTTTGCAAATATTATTCTAATAATTTGATTAATCTACTATATTATATAATATGATAATTTGTGTCATACTTGATTAATCACATCCTTTTAAAAGTATTTTCTATATTTTTAAATAAGACCCATGGCCTGTAAATTACCTATTATTGTTATGGATAATTATATACTTATTAATATGGGTCTGTTTTATTGGGATATAATGAAAATAATAATTTATTGGATTTAATTAAAATAATTAAAAAATATTGAAACAAAAAATATATATTAATTTTAATAATTATAGCAATAATCATTTAATATTAGATATTATAGCAGAAGTATTAATATACTAAAAAGTTTAATATAAAAATTAATATTTCTTTGTTCAAAATCAAATAGATGAATTGAAATTAACTAAGTAATAGAGCACATTATAGTTTCTAATATTGAAAAATTGAATGAACAGGGCCTTTAGTTTTTATATTCTGATATAAATCTATAAATAAATTGTGTATCTGAATTTCTGAGCGAAGCTATTTAATCGTTTACTTTATCATTTGAATTTTTTTTTTTCTCATTGAACTTATAAAAAAGTCGAATGGAATAGTTTAGTGGTTCTTTTAATATTGGCAAAGATTTTATATTGGATCTTTTTTGTGAAGAAACACTTCAATTATTTAAGAATAAACCTTTTTAATTCGTTTATGAAAGCAGCTTTTATTCAAATTAAACTGATTTAAAATAATTTTAAAAGTTCTTTTAAATAAGATAACATTTTCCTTGGACTAAGGAATTCAAAAAATTTAGTGCGGCTGTTCGCATTCTAAGGGGGATAATTATCAATTGATCTTAGATAAAATTATGCTGAAGCAATTCTATCATCACTCTAGCCGTTTAAACGGATATTTTTTAAAAATTACCTGAAACTTCGTTTTAAAAAAAATCATTATTTTAATTTTTATGAAAATTTATTACTTAAACTAATTGTAGTTACATTCTTCTAATAATTTGATTAGCATTTATTAATAAATTTAGGTACTATAGCAAAATTAACACTCATCTCAAAATAATTGCCTTCAAATTTTATAGTTAATCATTAAATTATAATTAATTTAATTGAGCTGTGCGTCACCTTGGATCCAGACTTTTAACCTAAACTAATGACCTGATATTATTTTATTGAATTTAAGAAGAAGCGCTTAAATATATATATATATTCAATTAAAAAAGTTGATATTGATTAATTATATAAACATGCTTAAATCATATAAATTTTATCTCAAAAATCTCGCAATCCATAATGGATTTATCCTTTCCAAATAAATAGATAGTTTTATCCCCCTATTAACTACATTCATATGTAGTACCTATTTTAGAATTACCCCATTTAAAATCAGTAATATTTATATCATGTCCACTTCCAAATAAAG